CCCCCCCCCCCCCCCCCCCCCGCCACTTCCCTGACCTCCTGGAGTGCTGGAAACACCAGCTCAGCTGCCGGTTATGGTTATTGTGTTAAACATCAGCAGGGCGTCTCTTCCAGGGGAGAAATGGTTGGGATACCAGGCAAAGCAATCCAGGGGTTCCCCGTTCCCCACCTTTCCTTCTCCTCTCCCCTTCCCTCCATGCAGCAGGCGCTCTGGATTCAGGCCTCTACCCCCACCGCGCCAGTCCCTCTGTGTCAGGTTAAGCCAACCCCCAAGGTGCCAAGTGGAAACACCGCCTCATTTTGTGGCCAGGCTGGACAAGAAGGGGCCTTGGCTTAGCTTTGGGGAAGAAACCCCATCATTCCTGGGATGCGGGTGCCTTTCCATACTGCTCCTCTTATGGGGTGGGACATCACGAGACTGGTGAATGTGCAGCCTTTGTCTGTGACCTTCCCTCTCCCGGTGGCAGAAAGCTGAGCTCAGGCCACCGAGGGCTGGGGTGACCCTTCGGCATCACAGAAGAGCACTGACTCGTGACGTACTCCCATGGCGTCCCCTCCTGTCCTGCACAGGACACCGGGTGAGGGCAGGAAGAGGCCATCTGAGGATCCGGTCCTGAGGGACCCCGGGGACAAGCGTGACTCCCAGGGAAGGGAGGGAGGGTGGCGCTTACTCTCTCTGAGGTAGTGGAGGTGAGAGAGGAGAATGTCGGCGTTGTAGCTCGGGGTGAGCCTCTGGAAGTCGTCCTTGGTCATCTTGCACAGTTCCTTCCCGTCGATGTTCTGGAACAGTAAGACGTCCACGTCCAAGAGGCTGTACTCTTTCACCGCCCACTCCAGCCACTGCCGGACGTGGTCCGTGCTCCACAGTGTAGGGTCTGAAAGGCAGAGAAAGTATTTCATCAACTCTGGAAGATCAGGTCCCTGGGGATGGTACCCCATCCCCAGCCCAGCCCCCAGAAGTGCCAGCTGCACAAGCGGCCAAAGGACATCCTGGGCAGAAAAGTCACATCCACCCGGGGATGTCCCTGGGGAGGACTGCTCTGGAAGATGAGGTTATTCATATCAGCGGCTTCTTTTGTGGCTCACATACGTTTTCCTGTAGGGATCAGGCTTTTAAAATTCTTAAATGTTTTCATTTAAAAAAATGCACGAGAGTATAAGAAAACGTTCTTTCCTTTAAAAATTACTGGTATATGTATATGAAAAGAAAAGTTCAGTGGATGCAGGAGCGCACACCTGCAATCCTGGCACTCTGGGAGGCTGAGGCAGGAAGACAGCAAGTTCAAGCCCAGCCTGGGCAATATGGCAATTTTGTGAGACCGTCTCCAAACAAACAAACAAAATAGATGAAGAAGGCTGGGGATATAGCTCAGTGCAAAAGCCCTGGGCTGAGTCTCCAATATTACAGGAAAAACATTTGAAATTGAGCAGAGCCCAGCCCACCCCCCTTCCACTCTGCTCCTGGACACCCCCGAAGTCACCCCTGTCCTGAAGCAGATGCGTGTGTCATTCCTGGGCATCTTTAAATACTCTTACCACAGCAACTTCAGATGCTGTCTGTGGTTCACAAGTTAAGCTTTGCCATGCCTCGGGCACTCGGCACTCTATTCTCCAGGCGAAGCCAAGTTAATTCGGGCAGAAATAGTCAGTAAGCAGCTGTGGGCCTCCCTTGCAGGAAAGGGCGGGCTCCCAGAGGAGTACTGGCTTCCTGTCCACCTGGAGTCTGCACTGGTCCACACACGCACACCCTGGGGACCTTTGGGGAGACTGAAAAATTACGTGTGCCTTGTCCACCAGGATGATGCTGGACTGTTAAGGTGGAAAGCAGTCTGGACATCAGACGTGTGAGAAGCTCTCTCTGGTGATTTTGTGCAGCTGTTTTAGTTTAGATTTAGAAAAGCCTCATTTGCTCAGAGGTGGGGGTTTTGGAAAGTGATTCAATTATGGGAGTGTACAGCTGATTTGCTGTTGGGATGTGGGTTCTGGTTGGAAGAGGCTGATCACTGGGGTGTGACTGGAAGGGTGCATCTCCTTCTCCAGCTTCTCTCCTCTCTCTCTCTCTCTCTCCTCTCTCTCTCTCTCCTTCCTGGCCACCATGGTGTGAGCAGCTTTCCTTCACCAGGCCCTTCCACCCTGACATTTCGGCCTTGGAGGCAGCTGCCCATTGGCTAAAACCACCGCCGAAATAAATCTCTCTTCTCTAAGTTGTGTGTGACCCCTATTGTGTCCCAGTGACAAGAAAGTAACTAAGACAGCAGCCAAGGTTCAGCCCACCAGCCACACGCCCCTATGACTCAGTGTGATCCTCCATCCTGACGGTCCTGGATTTCATTAGAGATGCAGAATCAGGCACACACTGAGCCAGAGTGTGCACATCACAAGACTTCCACCTTATACAGGAAAGCGTGATCTGGGGCAGTACCTGGGCACCTGCAACTGAGGGCAACCTGAGCCCTGAGGATTGGAGTTCAAGTTCATCCAAGAGCACAGTGATTCACTCTATAGCAACAGCCCAAGCACAGGAACTGAACACTAAAGGATTTTCCGCAAAGAAAATATATACAAGAATGCAAGTGTTGTTGTTGGCAGAAAGGTGTGCACACTCACTGTGACCCAAATTCTGGGGGACATCAGGGACTATCTGGGGCACCATGGGGTCCACTCACTCATGTTCCAAGTGCTCTTCACCTTTGGGTTGGGATTTTGCTATCATGGATAAACACTCAAAATGCCAGATTGTTTTCATAGGTCGGTTTTCTGCCTTTTTTTTAATGGCATCACAGGATCCCTTCTTATACAAAAACAGATTATATCAAGGTATAGGACACCCTTAATTCAAAGTCTCTTTATCTTAGGTTTTGAGGTGGGGACAGTTCCAACACCCTGACAGACAGAAACCCCCTGCAACCCTCAATCTCCCCCAAGTCCGTCCAGGAAAGTTCTGCTGTTGGGGCTTAGCCAGAACCCTTCCTTGGTTTGCTTGGCTTTGCTTTTAACCAACATGGAATCTCAGAAGCAGCTCACTGTGGAAATGGATTTTTTCTCTGTATGGTGGTAGAACCAGAGCATCCCAAAATGATGAACAAACAAAAATCTTGCCTGCAAGTCACTGGCTCTATGATCAACAGGCAAATGGTATCTTAGGAAGACAGCTCAGAAGAGAAATCCAACCTGGCATCCCTCAGTCCACCCCTTCACTTCTGTCCTCTGCTAAACCACCATCATCCTGGCTCAGCCAATTTCCCTCAAGAGAATTATGTGCAAGATCCGGAGAACAACTTCTCAACCCATAACATCCTTACTGTGAACACGGTCATTTCTAGCTACTGAAAGAAATGCCATTCCTTCTACCACCTGCCTCGTAAGCACAAGGTCCTAAATTCGAGCTCCGGTATCAAAAAAATAAAAACAAACAAAAAAAATGCCATTCCTGATACAAGGTTAAATCATTATAACTTTTTGGATAAACAACTTACCCATACATTTCAAATGTCTTTAAAAATGTGCTTAAAAATTCCACTTCAAGAAATCTACCCTAAAGAAATAACAGGATGTGTGCAGTGATTTATTTTTAAGGATGTTCTTTGTAGGGCTGATAACAGCAAAACATTGGAAACACCCTAAGTGCCAAGCAAGAGAGAAACAGTTAAGTTTTGGTATATTTAGGAATGTTCCTGGAAGCTTTAGAAACTAAAAGTTACCTTGCTGAAATACATTTATTTATACAAAGAGCATGTGAACTGTAGATTTATTTTGCTCCCTTCAGATTCCACAATTCAGGGATTCACAAGTCCCTTGTATAAAAAAGTGTAGTTTCTGCATATAATGTATGCAGATCTTTGAATACACTTTAAATCTTATCTAGGTTCCTTATACTACCTAAATTGATGTAAATGCTATATAAATACTCGATGTGCTACATAGTTGAGGGAACAATGACAAGAAAAAGTATTCACATGTCAGCGTGGAGAGTTGTTTTCTGAATATTTTCTACACGTGCCTGGTTGAACCCACAGATGTGGATCCCATGGATAGAGAGGTGACTGTATATGTTAAATTAGTTTTATACAATTTCCCTCATGAGTATAGGAATTCAATCTTTCTTTTACATTTTAATACTATTTGTTTCAAAAAGTAATATTTATTGGGAAAAAATAAAATTACATAAAGCCTGGCCACTCCTCTCTCCTTTTGGGGGCTGATCACCACCCCGACCCTGTAAGTGATTTTTTTTTTTTTTTTTTT